CTCATCATCAGAGAGTGATGATGAAGAAGAGAGGAGAAGTGATGCTGGTAGTCGTCCTCCATCTTTAGCTGTTAGGAGGAGACACTCATCAAGACAAGAAGCAAGAGATGACAAATAATAATAACTTTAAAAACAAACACACTTTAATACTAATAATAATAATGATGACAACAGTAATAATAACTCAGACACAATACATTATTCATACATACATGTACATTAGTTAACAGTTAATTGTAAATACTATTAACAATACAAAGTTTTATGTCAGCAAATTTTACGAATAAAATATAACAACACTAAACAGACAATATGGGAACCTTTATGGTCAAAACTTTCTCAGATATTTTCTTTTAATTTCTTCTGCTAGATCATTTCTTTGAACTACACCTGATTCTAAAACCTCTACAATAGTAGCCCAAGTGTAAGGAAGTGGAGTAGTAACTCTCCAGTGATTAAAAACAGCACGATAACATTCCATCAAATCAGGACTATATTGAGATTTGAAACCATCCAACACATGTTGATCAATGTCAAGCATTGTCCCAATTTTTATCCATTCCTTGGGAGCTTTGGCAGCAACTTCTATCATTAGCTCTCTAATGCTGGGATTAACAACTGGAGGAGGTTCTATTACAAATTATTGATTATTAACAAATTATTGATTATTAAAGACAATTCCATTTTAATGATTGGCTTACCATCATCATCTCTTACTACAAGAGGTAGCAATAAAAGATCTGAGCATGCTATAGTGAGTATTAAACTAAGAAAGATATGGTAATAAAAACTTACTAATTGCAATAGATAATGATGGATCTCTTGTTCCAGTAATAGTAATGCTGTGTGTAAAACTATTGGAATAAGGTGGGCCTTGAACACGCAAAGACACCTTACTAAGACCACCATCATTAGAATGATGACGATCAATATCAGGTTTACGTATCTAAATAATAAATAAATAATATCACCAAAAGTAGATAAGGAGCAGCATCATACATTAACTGCATAGCCAGAGGGAGGGTTGGCTATGCAAGACTACTGTATTTATAACAAGCGTAACAGGGTAAAAAATATTCCTATAATTGATTTCACCACCTTGCAAGTACAGCTTGATTATTATTAAGACTTATAGAGGCTCTCTCTACCTTGTGAATCTTGTAGAGAAGTCTTTAGACACTATCTTTATGTTCTCTTGCTGTTAGAAACAGGGGCGGATCTAGGATTGGATTTTTGGGTGGGCCTTGATGGTTTGGGTGTGGTAATTAGTGGGTGTGGCCAACAAGGCCTGCATTCAAAGTCAAAATTTTGAAGATTAAAGCTGTTAAAATGAGCTCGTTTGTGGTTTACACATTGTTTGGATAGTCATGCTTCACAGTTTACATAGTCATCCACATGAAAAAGTTGATTTTAAATTACTGCAC